CCTCCGTACAAACAAGCCGAGGTGAGGGAGTGAACAGAGTCGCTAGGGTTTGGCAAAGCCTGGGCAGGGGAAGTTGCCTGGGTGAACCACGCCGGCGCCAGGGGCTAGGGCTAACGTGGGAGCCCTCGGCCAGGGCGAGGACGTGCGGGAGCCGCGTCGGCTTCCCGCGCTCGTCTGAGTCACAGGAGAGGACCTCCAGGCTCTCGGGAAGGAAATCAAAGTTCCGACGAGCTTGGAGTCCCTAGACTGGCACCCGTGTACGGGCCGCTGTGCTGACGCACCGGCTCCCCCCGGACGCTGGGGGCGTCGCACTGCAGCTGTGCGGGGAGCGATTTATTCCTCGCCATCCCATCCCCGATGCCTCAGTTAAACATAACACAAAACTACTTTGTCCTCTTCTACTTATCGGATAATTAATTACTTTCTTTGACACAAATGTTCAATACATCAAAGCTCTACCTTTTTGATTCTCCTTGATCCCCCTTCTTTGTAGAACCCATTTCTGAGACCCAGTTGGACCCAAACATCGGCTAATACTTTTGAAGAAAAATAGGCAAATTATCCAAAATGGTATTTAATGAATGACAATTTAATTATTAAGCAATTGTTAACGCACAAGAGAAGGATTCTATCTCCACCATTCCATGGTACTATACAGCCTGAAAGTTGCCCTTGTTACAAACACCCATTTCTAAAAGCGTGGCTGATCCACGGAGACCAAACTCACGTTCTCAAAAACCGAGCCCCAGACAGCGCGGACCATGGGGGTAGGGGCCTCCAAGGTGTGCCCAGTAGGTGCGACTTGCACAGTCATTCCCCGTGCAGACTGGGCTGGGTTTTGCTTGCTTCTGCCTCTCCTGTCATGGCTCCCCAAAAGAATCTTTTAAAAACTCTACTCGGATTGGTAAAACATAGTCCTCATTTAATATTTTTCATTATCAGCCTGTTCCTCAGATGGGGAAATATTTTTGTCTACAATTAATGTAATTTTCCGAGAACAATTTTGTTCTATTTTCCTTCAAAACTATGGGATGCACCAGCCAGAAACATTTTGTCACCCTTATTCTGATGACATAAAATGATGAGCTCTCTGAAATAAGATCTGGCAGGTAGACGGGTCCTAAAACATGCTGGTGTTCAACAATTTAATGTTCAGAAATTCGTTATGCCACAGGCTAAGTGTGGAACTCTATAGCAATAATAATCACTTAACCAAACACATAAATGCGGAGTTCACTAAACCATCTAGTGGTTTCACTGGGGTGGGTGAAGGGAGATGGTTACCGTGACATCACTGCTATTATTTAAATTAAACTGCTATGGGAGAATATAATTGTTAATAAAAGCCTCCTCTCCACGCCCCCCAAGGTTTCCCCTCCCCCTCTGGCATTTTATGACGCGCCATCCACGATGACTGTAAGCAGAATACGTGGATCCTGGTAGCCTCCTGCATAACTACAATGTCGCACCTACAGGTCCGCAAGGAAGTGCGAGGAAAAGGACGGTAGTTAGGGAGAGTCGTTTGAGAAAATATGTATACGTTTATGGTTAGGGCACCGAGGTTCAAACTTTTTTGTCCTCCCGAGGCATGTGTTTGTGTGTGTGCATGTGAAGAGAGCATTTTATAACTGGGCTGTGTGCACCCTCTGTCGTGCCCCCCGTGTTTGGACATTAACAACCGCTGTGGAATTATTCTATGGGGCTATTTTAATGCATTTAACAGAGAACTAATGGGTCGTCTATGTCGAAAAGCATGCCCCTATTTTTAATCTCGTCACGTATGGAAGCGGTTCTGTGCGAATCTGAGGCTTCCCCCCTTACCCGTCGTGGGTGCTCTTGGGCAGGAAAATCATTCCAACCACTTTTGGTTCCTGACCATTCTAAGATGCTACCTTTCTTTCTCCGTAACTGGTGTTTTTGTTTTGTGAAGTCTACTTTCGTCCTACTTGCCAACAACAGTGCTGCCTAGAAACTCAGTTGCAATGTGGTGAACTCTCGCCTTGGTCCTGGCTGCAGGGTTGTAATCGCGAACGCAGGGTATGGTGGACTTTGGTGGGCTCCAGGCTGCAGGAGACCAAAGCTACTTTTTTGTGTGTGCCAGGATTTTACCTTCTAGTTAGCCCGGAGCGTGCGCGCTGCAAGCATACACACACACACACACACACACACACACACACACACACGCACGCACACCTCCGTACAAACAAGCCGAGGTGAGGGAGTGAACAGAGTCGCTAGGGTTTGGCAAAGCCTGGGCAGGGGAAGTTGCCTGGGTGAACCACGCCGGCGCCAGGGGCTAGGGCTAACGTGGGAGCCCTCGGCCAGGGCGAGGACGTGCGGGAGCCGCGTCGGCTTCCCGCGCTCGTCTGAGTCACAGGAGAGGACCTCCAGGCTCTCGGGAAGGAAATCAAAGTTCCGACGAGCTTGGAGTCCCTAGACTGGCACCCGTGTACGGGCCGCTAGCCCTGCGCGGTTGGAGTCGGGCGCGCAGCGGCCTCCCGCGCCGGGTCCGCCCGGGTGGAAGCGCGCAGGGGGTCCCACGGCGCCAGCTTTTGTACGGCCCCGCCTCGGCCGCTCGAGCTGACGCACCGGCTCCCCCCGGACGCTGGGGGCGTCGCACTGCAGCTGTGCGGGGAGCGATTTATTCCTCGCCATCCCATCCCACCCCATCTTTGGTTACTCCACCCTACCCTCCCATCCCTCCTCCTCCTCTTCCTCCTCCTCCTCCTCTTCCACCGACGCCGGCTCTACCTTCCGATTCTCCTCCTCCTCTTCATCTCCATCCCCCTTCCACTTCTCTCCCCCTCGCCTCCCTCCCGCCTCCCTTTCCTCTCCCCTCCCTCTCTCCTCTGAATAAGCAAGCTTTTGCCTCTAAAAGTCACAAGTAATCCTCGTGTGTGACAGAGGGAGAGGGAGAGAAAGAGAGAGAGAGGCGAGAGCCTACCCGAAGAGCGGAAGGCAGGAGGGCAATCTGGCACCACGGCTGGGAAAGGAAACTTGATGCTTCTGGGCTTCCATTTGCCGTGGCCTCGCGCTGGGGGTGAGTACCTTGGGGACCGGCAGAGTTCGGTACCTGGCAGGGTTCGGCCACCGCCTAAAGCCGAGAGCTCTTCCCTCACCTGGGACTACTGGAATAATAGTGAAAACAGGGTGGGGTGGGCATCGCGCGGGACCTGGGGCCCAGCCGCCGCTGTGCGCCCGGGAGCTCGGACCCCAGACTCTGGCCGCCGGGAGCCCTGCGAGTCCAGTCGAGGTTCTCAGAGGTTGCTGGGGCTCCCAGCCATCCGATCTCTCTCGCAAAGCCGGGCGTTCGACAGCTCCCTTCCTATGCGCACTCGTGTGCAAATGAGCCTCTGCCCAGCCGAGGAGGCAAGCCTTGCTCAAAGCTTGGGAAGGGAAAGTTTGGCCAGGTGGGGGGCTGCGCACCTCTACTGGGCCCTGGAACCTCAGTGGAGCACCCTAGACTTGCGCAGAAAATGGATCGTTTTCCGTTTCCTTAAAAAACATTACCTTTAACGAAAAATTACATGTAGTCAGAAAGATTATTGGATTACCATGTCTGATCAGCTGCTGATGACCTACCAATAAGCGTTTTAAACACACACGCATATTCATGCTCGCGCGCGCACACACATCCACACACGCACACACACCACACACCCCGAGGGCTGTGTGCGGCGAGTAATGCCGTCAGAAGTAGCTGAGAATTCAGAGGGAGTCGCGAGGGCTTTTAAATGTGTAAAGGCTGTGTACAGAGAGCAGAGGGAGGGGGCCGAGCGCGCGCGTTGGCTTGGCGTTTTCTCTGTGCCTGTGTGTTTCGTGTGTTGTCAGCTGGCTTTGGTTTCTAAGCGCTGAGCGCTGCCAGGGGCGGGGGCCGGCATCCACCATCCACCATCCACCATCCACCTCGGCACCCTAGTGGCGAAACAGGATTCATTTGTTTGGTGCAGAGCGGTGACGACCTAGAAGAGACTGAAGTGTGGTTAGGTCGGCCCCCTGCCATCCATTACACCTGCAGCAGATGGCCCAAGTGGTAGATTGGTTTTGTTTGCCCAGATCAAGAAGGGGAGGGGGGAGCTAGAGCCTCGCCCCACTCAAAAGAAGTACCATAAAGAACCAGAGAAATGGAAGAAGCCATATTCCTACCATCAAGAGCACTACTGTTACCACTATCCATGAGTGAACCTGGACATGTTAGTGATCTTGGTGCCTGGTCCCAACAGATGACATGGCAGAATGTGAAGACCAATATTTTTTCAGATTGTACAATGAAGTGCCTACTCCTCCCTACACACACACACACACCCCTATCTCCAACCAGATACACACAGGTGTCCTTGCAGCGACTCCCTGAAGCTAAATGTCAGTGGACTCCTACGATTTCACTGATGCTGAAAGGAAGGCCACTCCAGGCACAGGGAGCCTCTCCCTTCCCTAAGTGCTATATTCAAACAGCCTGTCAGCCTCCGCACACATGCCCTCCTCCCAGACAACACCTAGCTAGAATTTAGCTAGATTTCAAATGTATCCATTTCCTTTTCGCATGCGGTGATGTCTTTCTGATCAATATTCCCATCCGTACATCCCTTCCTTCCTTCGAGCTACTCAACAAACAGGAAAGGAAGCACACACACCCTCCTAGACAGCCGAGAGGGAGGGCAGGTGTGACAAAGAACACAGACACAGTCTAATAGCAGCTTAGCCTGTCTTCACTTCTGAGTTTTCTTGCTAAGTAAGAAGAATTAAAGGACAGATACATCAAGAGACTGGCACAGAACGAAAAGCCTTGTCTCCACCCTTACTTCACACACACCCCATATATA